CGGCCAAACCGCTCCGAACCTCCTGTTCGCGTCCTTGGCCCTCCTCGCATGCGTGAGCCTCCTGGTAGTGCCTCTTGCTGCACGATCAACTCCGAGGTCTCTGCCTTCTGTGACCGCTTTGACCTTTATCCCAAGCCGGCTGAGCCTGGTCTGCACCTGGAGCGTGGAGCCGAAGTCCGAGGTGAAGATCAGCGTCTTGTCTGCTAGGCTGAGCCCGTGTTGCTCCAGCCCCCACTTCAGCTTGCTCGTTGCCATCGTGAGCTGCTCCGTGACCGCCTCCTTGCTTCCGACGACCTTGATGCTGATGTCGTCGAACCAGGCCCGCGGCATCGGCTTGGGCAGCGCCGAGGCGTCGTCGACCATGTGGCTGAGCACCGCGTAGACCACCGTCTTGGCCACGTTGTTGGAATGCCTCGAACCCGCTAGGATCGATCTGTCCGCCAGCATCGGCTCCGAGTACGAGTTCTTGCACCTCAAGATGCGGGCCCCCGAGTCCTGCAGCAGCAGCATGGTGAGGAGCCTCGGGCAGAAGTTCAGCTTGAGCGCCTCAGGGATGAGGGTATCTATGCGCAGGCTGTCGTAGAACTTCTCAATGTCCACCAGCGTGCAACCCTGGAAGATGCCGAGCGCGTCGCAGCACTCGTCCGAGAGGATACGCCTCAGCGCCTCCCTCTTGCAGCTGTTGCCTGCCACCGCCGCGTCCCACTCACGCCCCTGCTGCTTCGCCCACGCTCTCACCGCGGGCCTGTGGAGGAGCTCCCAGCAGCGCACCAGCTGCGGCAGCAGGGCCAGCGCGCGGTCGCCCTTGGCTGGCTTGGGGATTATCATGACCAGCGCGTTCAGGAGCTGCCAGGGCCACATCAGCCTCAGCTCGCACTCGTTGAACAGGTCCACGATGGCTTGGCGCCCCGCCGTCGGTAGCCGACGGATGTCGCTACAGCAGAGCTTGTCCAATCCCTGGCCCTGATGGGGCTCCCCCGCGAGGGCGAGGTCCAGGTCGTCGACAGTCCACTGTGGCGCGTCCACGGCTGCCGCTCGCCTCCTGAGGTCGCCGAGCAGCTGCGTGTGCTTGCCGTGGGCGACCTCCTCGCACCTCCAGATCTTCGCAAACGCCCCGGCCTTGGCATCCACGACCTGCATCGGGCTGTCCGTCACGCCCGCCTCCGTTGCCAGCTCCTCCTCGCGTCTGCTGGGCGGCTTGGTGATCCTGTGGAGCGCGCCTGGCTGCCTTTCGGCGGCGGCTAGCCACCGCCCAAAGCTTCGCGTGCTCTCCATCAGGTCCCTGTTCACCGCCGCTCTCCTCTGCTGTTCGGCCTGCATGGCCATGCCCTCGACGATGGCCACGTCGAGGTCTTCCAGCGCCGCCAGCCTCTGCCGCCAGATGCTGCGGTGCAGGCGTGCCGTCTCCGAGGCCTCGCGGCCTGCCTGGGGCATGCCATCGTAGGCCAGTTCCCGTCCTGCTCGTGCGAGCTCGCGCTGATGCTTCGCTCCTCTGCCTCTCCTCCTCAGCTTGGCCAGCATGGCGGGCAGGACCTCGGCCCTGGCCCACCAGTCGGCGCTGTGCTCGCCGTACTTCAACCCCCTCTCTCCGTACTCCCTGGTGTTGGTGACCTTCAGCTCGCAGGCCTTGCCGCGGCCCGTGAAGTGGTGCCTGTCGACGGGGTCGATGCGGTAGGCCATGCAGTAGAACCTCTCCAGCGTGCCGATGGCGTTCGCGAAGCGGTCTCCGAGCTCCTTCGCCGCCGCCGCGTCCACCTGGTAGGCCGCGCAGCTGCTGATGTAGGAGGGGATCTCGGAGGTCTCGCACTGCTCCTGGTCCTGCAGGGCCTGCGCCGTCTCCCAGACGTGGCCCATGGTGGTGGTGTCCACTCCAGCAGCCGCCTCACGGATTCGCCTCCTCAGGTCCTCCGCGTTGCTGCTGCTCTCTGGCTCGGGCGAGGTCCCCCGACTATGCCGCTGACTGTGTTCGCGGCGCTCATGGTCTCCGCGGGCTGCGCCCTCCCCCTCGTGGTCCAACTGGCGGTTCCCCAGGGTGTGGGGTCGCGCTGGTACTGACGAGGTCCTGGCTACCATGGCGTTGGTCGTGTAGTCCGCGTCATGCCCTCTGGGCTCGTCAGGGACCTCCGCCTCGAAGCCTTCTGTCATTTGCAGCAGCTGCTCCTCTTCGGTGTGATCGTCCAGATCTGCGAAGGGGTCCGCGTCCGCATCTGACCATCCTGGTGTCGCTCGCATCCTTGCCGAACCTGGGAGGCCATCCCCATGGTTCGCATCTGACTCCTCCCCACCCATCCTTACAGTGCCTGCGCTCTCGGCGCCAGGATTATCCCCCGCGGGGAAATCCGCCCATCCCGTCTCGACTGGCGCCAGCGCCTCCCACCGTGCGTTGTCCAGCGCCTGCTCGAAGTCCTGGGGCGGTGGGCGCTGCTCAAGCTCCTCCTGGCTTCTTCCTCCAGCCGCTGCTGCCTGCGCCTGCGCTGCTGCCTCCTCCCTCACTCTCCTCCTCGCCCTCTTGCTGTCTGGGTTGGGCTGCTTCTTGGGGCGGGGCGGATGAGGGAAGGGCTGGGGCATGCGCAGCGAGCGGGTCCTCGTCTCCTGGGCCTCGGCGTAGAGCGTGAACTTCAGCCCAGATGTGCGGCTTCCACGGCACGTCGTAGACCGCCTCCACGCCTTTGATCAGCTCCTGCCCTTGCTCGTTCACCAGGGCGTAGTCTATCATCGACTCGTGCTCTCCCAGCTGGCAGGTGAAGTCGCCGTCGGGCAGCGAGACGATGGCTGTCGCCCACATGGCAGCGGGTCAGCCTGAGTCCCACATCTCCGTCGGCGCCTTGTCGAAGTCGCCGCAGACGATCCACGCGCCGCTTTGCCCCTTCAAGAACGAGGCGAGGGCCGTCAGCTTGCGGGCGTTGATGCCCTCGCGCAGCGACTTGCCTACGTCCAGGTAGAGGCTGATCACCGTGATTGTCGTCCCCTTCAAGTGCCACGTGACTGGCGTCCAGTCGCACAGGTCCAGGTCGGCTTTCCACTCCCCGCTCACGTCGGTCGTCGCCTCCGTGACTGTGGTCTGCCTGGCCTGGCACCGACAACTTGAGGTCCGCAGGTGTCCCCTCATGACGACCGCCGTCCCTCCGAAAGTACCCTGCTCGGATCGTGAGCTGGGTCTCGCCGCCGCGAAGCACGCCTTGTATCCCAACTTCACAAGTTCGCACTCCACGGTATCTAAGTTTGAGCGGCCCACGTGCGTCTCCTGGAACGCGTAGGCGTCGTACCCCTGGCCGAGCTTCTGCTTGGCCATCCACAGCCTGGCTGTGGGTCCCCAGCTGGTGAGGTTCGCGCAGAACAGTGTGCGCTCGCGGGGCTCGGCGGCGCCGCCTCCTTGGCGCCGAGCTCCGCGCGCCTGGCCTCAGGCCGAGGCTGCCCCCCCTGGGCTGCCTCCGCCCGGCTGCTCCCTCAGCTGCCTGAGGTACTCCTCAGCCTCCGCGTCGCCGCCTCCCGCAGCCGGTGGCGTCCCAGCCGTTGGTGCCGCGGCCGCAGGAGGCGTGGCTGCTGGCTGCAGCGGCTCGGCAGCAGGCGTCGCCTGTTGCGGGGGCTCCGCTGCGCCGCCACCCTCAGCCTTCCTCTTCTTCGCCGCCTGGTGGATCGTGGCCTGCTGCTCCGCCGCCTTCAGCTTCGCCGCCGCCAGGTGCTCCTTCAGCTGCGTCGAGAAGGTCTGCGCATTCTCCTTCATCTGTGCCACGACCGTTTTCTTCACCTCTTCCACTTGCTTGCGGCCCTCGTCGTCCAGGTCGGCTGCGGTCAGGTTGAGCTCGCGCTCGATGTCCGCTGCAAGTTGACCTGCCGCCAGCTCCTCCACCTGGCCGCTGACCAGCTGCTCCAGGACGCCCTTCGGCGGGTCGCGGCCCTCGGCCTGGATGGCCTCGAGCTCTCTCTCTCCGCCTTGAGCACCGCTGCCGCCTTCACGTCCAGCTTGGCTCTCGCCTCCTGGGCAAACGTGTCAGCTCTCTTCTTGGCCGCGAAAGCCGTCGAGTACGCCTGGTTGGCCTCCTGCAGGGCCTTGGCTGCAATGCCCAGGCGCTGCGCCCTCGACTTGGGCGGCGGCTCGGGCACCGCTGCCTTGATCGCGACTGCCGCGCCCTGCAGGGTGCGCGAGATGGCCTTGCCGTTGGACAGGTTCAGGTCCCCGAGCGTGTCCGTGAGCAGCTTCAGGGCGTGCGAGACCTTGTCCGCGCCCTTGGGCATGCCATTGCCGCTGCCCTGCTGTGGCTGGGGCCCGCCGCTGCTGCTGCCGCCTGCGCTGCCGCCGCTGCCGCCGCTGCCCCAGTCCGACTTCTTCGGCGTCTTGGGCTTCGGCAGGGCAGCGCGGCAGGTGCACTGGTAGTACATCCCCTCCAGGCGTGTGCACCACCACCACTCCCCGCAGGCCTTGCACACCACGTAGGCCTTGTCCGCGACCGACTTGGCCCCGCCCTTGACCATCGTCGGCGCGGCGCTGCCGTGGTGCGCGTCCAGGCGCAGGGTGTCGCTCTCCCTCCTCAGCCGCCGCCGCGCCACAGCGCGCAGGCGCCTCGCTCGGCGGTGCCAAGCGGGGGAGCGCGACCGCGCTCGGCGCCCCTCCGTGGGGCTGGGGGCTATGGCTCCGCGGGCGCGCGCCCGCCGCGGGCAAAATGCCTGCGACCCGCGCCGCGCTGCCAAGCCACCTTAGGAGGAGGAGGAGGAGGAGGAGGAGGAGGAGGAGGAGGAGGAGGAGGAGGAGGAGGAGGAGGAGGAGGAGGAGGAGGAGGAGGAGGAGGAGGAGGAGGATGTGCTCCCCCTGTGGACGCCGAACGTGCCAGCTGCACAGCAGGAGGAGGAGGAGGAGGAGGAGGAGGAGGAGGAGGAGGAGGAGGAGGAGGAGGAGGGGGAGAAGGAGGAGGAGGAGGAGGGCAGGAGGGAGGAGGGAGAGGAGGAGGAGGATGGGAGAATAGCAGGAACGTGGGCGTGGATTTGGACACCCGCGGCCTGGCCTTTCCAGAATCCCACGGCACCATCCAGCCCACCCGGGGCGGCGTGGACGCCTGCGAGGCGCAGCGCGCCCACACCTGGGAGCCCCCGACCTGGTCGCCGAACCTCAGAGGGCGGGTGCGAGGACATCCTCCAGCAGTCTCATCCTCCTCCTCCTCCTCCTCCTCCTCCTCTCCTCCTCCTCCTCCTCCTCCTCTTCCTCCTCCTCCTCTTCCTCCTCCTCTTCCTCCTCCTCTTGCTCCTCCTCTACCTCCTTCTCATATGTTTGATCCTCCTCCTCGTCCTCGTCGTAGTCGTCGTCATTATCATCACCAGCATCATCGCCTTGATCAGTATCCTGCTCCGTCTTCAGATTGCCCTCCTGTTCGTTATCCTCCTCGTCTCCGCCCTCCGCCCTCCTCCTCCTCCTCCTACCCATCATCATTCGCATCCTCGTCCTCATCCTCCTCCTCCTCCTCATCATCATTATCAACAACAACAACAACAACAACAACAACAACAACAACAACAACAACAACAACAACAACAACAACAACAACAACAACAACATCATCATCATCATCATCATCATCATCATCATCATCATCATCATCATCATCATCATCATCGTAACCACCAGCAGCAGCGTCATCATTATCATCAGCAACATCATCATCCTCACCCTCAGCAGCATCATCATCGTCATCACCATCAGCAGCATCATCATCACCATCAGCATCAGCATCATAATCAAAAGCATAATCATCATGATCATCATCACCATCAGCATCGTCATCATAATCATCAGCATCGCCATCATCATCACCACCACCAGCAGCATCCTCAGCATCAGCATCAGCATAAACATCACCATCGTCATCATCACCATCATCATCAGCATCATCAGCATCGTCTCCATCATCAGCATCGTCATCATCATCATCATACTCCTCCTCATCCTCGTCCTCCTGCTTCTACTCGTCCTATTTCTCCTGCTCATCCTGCTCCTTTATCTTCGTGCTCATCCTGGTCATCCTCCTCCTCTCTCTACAGTATCCTCGTCGATCTCATCCCCCTGGTCCTCTTCATGCTCCTTCTCCTCCTCCTCCTCCTCTTCCTCCATTCCCCTTCCTTATGACAAATTCTGGTGCGGCGCAAGCAGCCTAAACTGCAGCCGCTGGTGCTCTTGGACTCTGCAAGGAGCCTGGCCACCTTCATCGATGCTTTGTTGATGGCGATGGCGTCGGCCCCAGGAGCACTGCCCCGGAAACGGCAAAAAATGTTTGTCACCATTTCCTAAAAAAAGTTCCTTTTGAAAATGGAAGCGGCCAAAAAAGAGCGACCGGAAACAAAAAAAAAAAAAGCTCGGGGATTGGACACGGACCTAGAACTGGCAAAACAACGGCGACGGAACTGGCCAAAAAAACAGCGTCGGAACCAACACAAGAATAGCAAAACGGAACCGGTAAAAAAACTGCCCTTTCGTTTCCAGCACGAAGGCTGCGGTCTGATATTCCTCCCCGCCCCTCCACCCACGAGAGTCGCACGGAACACGCTAGTTGTGGTGTCTGCCAGCGGAACCACCAGCCCGAGAAGTCGGCTCCGTCGCGGCCGTCCCAGAAGTAGACGAAGACCTTTGAGCATCCAAGAACGTCCCCTCAGGAGGGAGACGGGAGGAGAAGGGAGGAAGGAGGAAAGAGGAGGAAGCAGGGAGGAGCGGAGAGCACCCTCTCTGATCCCTCGCCCCCTCATCACCCCGCCTCCCTCTTGTCTCCCCCCCTTCCGCATTTCCCTGATTCTTGCATCCCCCCCACTCAACATCTACGACCTTCTCATCCTCATCCGCCTCCTTCTTGACAGTGTTCTCCTCCTTCTCCTCCTCTTCCTTCCCCTCCTCCTCCTCATGCTCCTGGTGTACCTCCTCAACACCATCGTCCCCTCCATTCAAAAGGGGACTCTGCTGAAACAGGCGCCCTTTCTGCAGGGTTTGCGTCAATAGGTACTTCCGCCCGCCCACACCTTGACATTGGGGTGGCCGGGCACGGGCTCGATCTTCTTGTACGTCTTGCGCCCGTGGTTCGAGCCGTTCTCGGCATAGTTCCCGAGCAGAATCTGGACCTCGAGCGCCTTCGACTTGACCATCGTCGTCGCCGTCAGTGCAGGCAGCATCTGGGCCTTCAGGCTCATGGCGACGGACGCCTTCGCTTCCTGAACCACGGGGGAGACCCCACGAACGCTCCTCCCGCGCCCCACCGGTGGCGCGGAACACTCCGCGGCGCAGCGCCCGTCCTCCTCCACCTCATACTCCTTCTTCCTCTTCCTCCTCCTCCAGCTCCTTCTCCTCCTCCTCAAGCTTCTGCTCGTCCTCCTCCTCACCCTCCTCCTCCTCCTCATCCTCCTCCTCCACCTCCCTCCTCTTCCTCCTACTCTTCCTGCTCCTCCTCATCCTGCTCATCCTCCTTCCCCCGTCCTGTCTCCTCCTCCACCTCCTCCTCCTCCTCCTCCTCGTGCTGTGCACGCCCGACGCCCCCAGTTGGCGGCGGGATGAGGTTCAGGTGGGCAGGGCGGTGGACGGAGTCGGCCCGGGGCACTGCCAGCTCTCGCGGCGAGCGCGACACTTCGGGCATACGCAGCACGGAACTTGAAGCCAGCGGCTGTACCTATGCTGCGAGATGGGCTGGCTACGCACGGACAGGAGAGGCCTGTTTGCGAAGGTCCCCACACCGCACGGGCGCGCATGTGCTCAGCGGTATTGCCGAGGCCACCGACGCGGAGTTCGAGACGAAGGTCTCCTCGAAGATCTGGGGCAAGCCCACAGGATGCTTTTTCCTCATCGCGGGGGAGCGTGCAGCAGCGGCAGCGAGGCACTAAGAAAGGAGGGAGGGCAATATTCAAAGGAGGCGAATAATCTCTTGTGCCCCCCTCCAAGCATCCGCGCCGGGGCGGCCTTCACCGCGGCCCTTGCGAAAAGCGAGAGCGCCAGAGACGTGCCCCGACGAACCCGTGACAACGTGCGGTCGCACGCAGTCGCGGTGCGATTTAATTTCGCCGCGGCACGGCGCGCTCCTCTGTCCAAGCAGGCATGGGGTGAGTACAAATCGCTCCAGAGTTTTTCCAAATGCTCCCTGAGCTCTCCAGAACGCTCTGGAACTGGCCGCGACGTCCGATACATCCTCCAGCCCCGCCAGCCCCCAGAGATTCCTGATAAATCCTCTTCTGGATTAAGTATATTCCTCTTTCGTCTTATGATTCCCCACCCCTCTCCCCTCACTCATCTGCCGCCAGCAGCGATTGACCAAACCGCCACATCCTGGCTGTATCTTTCCTGCTTCCACAGCAGCAAGTTATGGTGGAGGAGGAGCAAGTGCCCACACACTGGGAGTGCACTTCCAGCTGGAACCCCTGAGCCACACACCCCTCAGCTGAGACCCTGACATCGAATGAGAGCGGACAAGCGGCCGTCGAGAGCCAGCCGATGCAAGCGAGGGGGCATCTGGAAGCAATTGCCCACACGTCGTGTTTTAACACAGGATGTTCAGGGAGGCAGCAACAAAGAAGTGGAAACTGGGACAAACGGTGCTGGCCTTTGGCACCGACCTTCTTGTTTCAGCTTGCGCGCTCTTTCTGGCGCGAGGCGCACGCTCGTTCGAAGGGGGGTCGGGAAGGTGCCAGGAGGGGGCACACAGCGCCGAGACTGCCAAGGGGCGCGGGCACGTCGCCTCGAGGTGTCGCCAGCACTGGGGCTCACACTCGTGATTGACGGTGGTCGGGAAGGTGGCCGGAGGGGTGGGGCGGGAGGGGCATTGCCCACGATTGAGCGGATGCTCCGAAGCGGGGATATGTGCAGCTCCCCCGCCGGGGAAGCCGACCTTCTCGGACCTCAGGGGCGCGGCGATGTTGGACCTGTAATTTGCCAGCCTGGAATATACGACCCCCATGTTTTATGATTCGCACCACCGTGTATCGCTGGCGATCTTGGTTGCTAGAGGCGCATCCCTAAGAGCGCCACCGCCCTACGGCTTGTCGGTCTTAAGGTTGGGGATGCTAGGGCTTTGGGGTGCGCGTAAACAGCCCCCCCCCCCAGAAATCCTGGCTGGCCCCAACGGGCCCCCCGAATGCTGGCCTCAACAAGCCCCCGCCACTACCCCGGGGCGGTCTCAGCACCCTGGCGCCGCCTCCGGCGGTGCCCTCGTGGCGCTCCGCGTGGGGGCCACGTGGGGCGCTCTGGCAGGAGAAGGAGGAGGAGGAGGAGGAGGAGGAGGAGGAGGAGGAGGGAGGAGGAGGAGGAGGAGGAGGAGGAGGAGGAGGAGGAGGAGGGAGGAGGAGGAGGAGGAGGAGGAGGAGGAGGAGGAGAAGGAGGCGGCGCCAAGGAACGAGGACACAGGGGAGGCGGAGGCCACGGCCAGGAGGCGAATCAGGCCGAGCCCGTCGTCAAGACCTCCGCCGCGCGGGCCTCCGAGGACGAGCTCTGAGGGCGCCCCTGCGGGGCAGCGCCTCTGCAGACGCCTCCGCGGCCGCCCGGGCCGCGAGCGGCGCCTTGCGCGTTGCGGGCGCGCCTGGGCGCGCGCGAGCGGCAAGGCGCGAGCGGGCGCGCGCAGGCGGCGCAGCCCTCTGGCGGCTTTCTCTCTCTCTCTCTCTCTCTGGTCCTGCCTCTCTCTTCCTCTGGATTTGTCTCGCTCTTTGTGTCTCACGCACGGCTGGGCCTCCGCCCGCTGCGGCCGAGGGGCCGCTCCGCCGCGCCGCGGGGAAAGGCCGGCCCCCTCCCAGACCCCAGTGGCCCGACCTGCTCGAGGAGACGCGGCCCCCCGAACCACAGGCCCCCCTCGGGCGGGCGGTAATGGGGGGTGACCCACATGGGAAGTGAAAAGGGCCCAAAATGGATCCGTTAGGGCCCCTTTTGGGCACCAACTGGCTCCAAAAGGGGCCCTAGAGGGTACTTTTCTTCACCCCCCCCCTTTGGGTCACCCCCCATTGCCGCCCGCCCGACCCCCGCTCTCTCTCTTTCTCTCTCTCTCTCTCTCTCTCTCTCTCTCCCTTGCCGCAGAGGAGCACCATAGGGAACTCTGGGCAGACCCTGGGGAGATCCAGGCCAGCCCTGCGAGAGCCCTAGGAGAGCTTCTGGTAGGCAATCAAGTGTGGGCCCTACCCCTGCAGGTCAGACTTCTGAGACGATGACCGGGGTTCAGAATTCGAAGAATATCCGCCGCCAGGTGAACCCCAGAGGGCTAGGTGACGGGAACAACCGGACAAGTATTGAGAACCCTTGGTGAAGATCCGCTCAGGGTCGACGAGGCCGCTGAGGATCTGCTTCGGAACGACTGCTTGGGAATTTTGCTCCCACATGCCCGGAGGCGGGAGCGCGTGCAGAAAGCCCCGCCAGGACGGGGGCGGCGTGAGACGAATAATCAACTGCGGGGCTCTTTGATCCGCCAGGAGACGGATGGCCAGGTGAACCCCAGCGGGGGTGTCCGATACCCCAGCATCGGTTGGCCCCGCAGGGGCAGGCTTCGCTCGTGGTCGCAGATTCGGAAGCCCTGGGGCACACTGGGGAGACCCTGGCGAACTCATTGGGGCAAGCCCACCTCAAGGGAAACCCTTCCACTCTCTCTTTCTCTCTCCCTCTCCCTCTCCCTCTCCCTCTCTCTCTCTCCCTCTCTCTCGCTGTCTCTCTTCCTCGTGCCCTCCGCCGGCGGGTCCGCAGGAGCGGGAAGGAAGGCGCGCGGCGGGCTGCGCGGGCAAGACGGCCAAGGTCGGCGCCAAGTGCGGGCCAGAAGCGCCCAAAACGGCCCAGAAGGGCCCCAAGGCGGCCTGAGGGACCCGAAGACGGCCCCAGAAGAGCCTCTGGAAGGCCCCAGGACGGCCCATGAGCGCCACATAAGTGCCCGCGATGGCTTCAAGACGGCCCGAGTTGCCCAAGACGTCCCCAAGAGCGGGATATGGGCGCTCGACGCAGGCGTTGATTTCGGTTCTGCACGTCGCTCATCGCCGCGTAGTGCGGCGCCCCCAAACACGCTTGCCATCGCTCGGACGCCCAGTTCCCGTGCATTGCCTGGTTTCATGTCTTTCCAGATGGTCCCATATGCTCAACGTAAGACGGTCCAGATGTTCTGGCGCCGGCGTCGCCGAGAAACGCACGCGCCCGAGCAATGCCAAGAGTAACAGAACAGCCGCATCGTTCGAGGGGGGGGCCAAACGGTGTGGTGACCGCACCGCGTGGTGAGTCAGTGGGGATTCGAGGTCACCACGCGGTTTTGGGACGTGAGTCGCTCTCCGGGAATACCTCGAGCGACTGGGGCCTCCGAGGTCCCAACATCGTGCGGTGACGGGCCGCGCGGTGAGGTCGCTGGGGATTCCGAAGTCACCACGCGGTCCGTCACCCCCTGGCCGTGGGACCCGAAGCTGGGGACACGGTCATCTGGCGCTCCAATTTGTGTCGATGCGTGGACCCCCATTGGTCTGGACCACTTCCCTATAGGGCCGAATTTTCATCCTGAAGCGTTTTTTGAGTGTCCCCGGGCCCGTTGAGGGCTGCCGGAGGGGGCCTGGAACACCCGACCGTGCCTGCGGCGCTCGTCGGGGCTTCGTAGCTCGTGGGCTCAGCTAAACGGGGGCTCAGGCAGTTCCAGCATGCCCCCACTGGCGCTGCCCCCGTCTGCGGCGCCCAGAGCAGGGCCCCCGTGACGGGAGCATTGCCAAACCCGGAGATCGGCGCTGCCTGTGCCCCCGCTTGATGTGCCCCGGTCTCTGGCGCCCTGAACTCGCGGGAGCGAGGGTCGGCGGAAAGGAGCTCGCGAGGACCTGGTGCCCCCCGCTCCTTGTGGGGGGATGAGGAGGAGGAGGAGGAGGAGGAGGAGGAGGAGGAGGAGGAGGAGGAGGAGGCCGAGGAGGAGGCCGAGGAGGAGGAGGCGAGAGAAGGAGGAAGAGAAGGAGGAGGACGAGGAGGAGGAGGAGGAGTAGCGAGGAGGAGGATGGAGGAGGACGAGGAGGAGGAGGGAGGAGGGATGAGGGAGGAGGGAGGAGAAGGAAGGCGAGGAGGAGTAGGAGGAGGAGGAGGACGAGGGAGGAGGAGGAGGAGGAGGACCAGTGTAAACCCAAGAGTCACCAACGATGTCGGAATAAGTAAACCCTCCCCCCAAGCTCCCTCTTCATAGGCCCTCCAACGGTTCATCTCCACAGAAGGACCTACCTCGTTGGAAGACAACCACTTCAAGACCCTGAAGCATACCAGAGCATTATTATCAACATTCAAACGCCACGGATAAACCTGACTGTTGCGTCTTGGCGGTCCTG